AATCTCATGTGTAAGCTTACAATAGAGCAATCTACAATCATTCAAGTTTCTACAGTATTCCATCTATTGAATCATTAAATTTTATCAAACATTATTTTTGTCTATTAAAAAATTGATGTATCTTTTCTAATAGATATCTAAATTTGTTATTCTTACTTGAAGAAGAGCTGAGAAAAGTTCACTTAAATAAGATACTATTCTCAATTAATTATGAAAATGAAGAAATTATAAAAATTCCTTTTTCTTTTTCTCTTTTTAGATGTGGATGAGTGTGCAGAAGAAATTCATAGTTGTCTTAAAGGTTCGGAGGAGTGTCGTAATACTGAAGGCGCATATGAGTGTGATGTAAAGTGTAAAAAAGGATTTACGTATAGTATTAATCTGGGTACATGTGTAGGTAAATATTTTCGACTGCTTCACCTTACATTACTATACTTATTATTCAACTAAATATACTTCACTCGTTTTACATACGAAATGATAAATAAAAAATTATCTATTGCTTTCTCAGAAAGCTGCTTTCTGATATTTTTCTCACTTCTTCTGTAGGTATGTGCATGCATAAATACGTTTACATTTGAAAACCATCTTACCTGTTTTAACTAATTAATCGAATGGAAATATTTAGTTTGAATGTTCGCACGTGACTCTACGTCGATCCAGCATGTATTCTATCTGCATGTGAGTAAGAATTTTCTTACACTTTGTACATTTCTTAAAACTCGCTTACATTTCTAAACTGTCATAAGTAAATCTGTTTTTCTATATCGATACATTTTTAGAATTATGCAAGCATATAATTTTAACACATAAACCAAAAAACTAAAATATTCAACATTCGACAATTTTCTCTCCTTTTATTTATTTCTTTAATACGATTTATATGTAAATATCGTATCTTGTAGACATTGACGAGTGCGCTGGATCATATAACCCGTGTTCCGGCTCAAACACTACCTGTATAAATGTAATAGGTGGTTACGAATGTTTGCCTTTCAATAATTCTGCACCTCAATTCTTGATCGATACAAAAGCGGAACCATCGATGTGTCCTGCAGGATATAAACCTATGAATGATTCTAAAGATGCTTGTATCGACGTCGACGAGTGTAAGGAACAGTTGCATTCGTGTGACGTAAACGAACAATGTATCAATGAGATCGGTAGTTACAGGTATGCTTTTCTTTTAAATTGGATACAAATATGTGAGATACAATTTCTTCAATTTCTTTAGTATCAACTGATAATAATAATTGTATTGTAATTTGGTTTAATTAGATGTGAACTACCATTAGACGCCGAAGATACCGATTTAAATGAAAGAGATGAAGATAGTGATTCATATAGTAGAGAATACGAAGAACAACCCTTCATTTCTCCAAGGATTAATCGTTCAGTGATTTGTGAAGAAGGGTTCATTTTAAATCAGCAAAGCTTAGATTGCATTGGTATAAGAGATATTAAAAAATTGATATCTTACACACGTTACCAAATATTCAAAATACAAACAATATGTATAAGTATACCTGAAACAATGAGAATATATTATTTTATTTTTTTTTAATGTACATTCAAGAATGTAGTTCAATGATGATAATTTTTTTAGTAATTGAAAGAAGCAATATCGTTACTATGTGTATTAACTTTATTGAATATTTTAAATTTCGTTACGAATTTTCTATATAAAATAATTTTTTCTATTTTCTACATTAATAATATGATATTCTGATAGATGTCGACGAATGCAGTAATGGTTTGTCGAATTGCGGAATTGGCGAGCAGTGCATCAATTTTGAGGGTGGATACAGATGTTCTCCAGTGTGTCCACCTGGTTTTCAACCACGCAATAATAGTTACCATTCCAATGGAATTCAAGGACCATGTCAAGACATAAACGAGTGTGCGCTTGGATTACACTCGTGTAACATATTAACTCATTATTGTACTAATACGAACGGTTCTTACTTCTGCGAAGCATTTACAACCACAAGTACAACTACGACTAACAGACCATTTAATGATGCAAGAAGCAACAAAATGCAGGTATTAAATGTAATACGATAAATATACAATTTGACAATTCCTTTCATAGAAAATTCTAATATATTATGTATAGTTATTGATATTTTCATTAGGTAGTTGTTATATTATTTGCAGTACTTTCAATCATTATATTATAAATAAAATTACTCTGATTAGTGGAATATTTCAATAACTCTCTACGACCTTTTTTAATTATTCAAAAAGTAGCCCACAAGTTAAAAAAATGTATACAAATTACTTTATAGACTATCGATCGTTACTTGTTCCTGGATCCTTGCAAACACGGATACACGAGAGATTTAAAAAGTGGAGAATGCGTGGACATCGACGAGTGTACAACAAGTTCAAATTGTCGGGAGCATGAACAGTGTCATAACATTCTAGGTGGCTTCAAGTGTTCACCACTTTGTACCGTTGGCTGGTATTTTAATAAATTAACAAAAGGTTGTCAAGATGTTGACGAATGTCTTTTGGGCAGGCACGATTGTCCAGAGGGTACTCATATATGCGTCAATACAAATGGTTCCTTTGTGTGTGAACTGATACAGCCATGTAGCAACGGTTACGAACGCTCTTTCAATGGTAGTTGTATAGATATTGACGAGTGTTTAGACGATTTACACACTTGTCGATTAGAATTGTACCAGTATTGTGTGAATAAAATTGGCAGCTTCGAATGCCTGACCAGATTACCTTCTTGTCAAACGGGATTCACGTTTTCTGTAGCTAGTAGACAATGCGAGGATATCGATGAATGCGTTACTGGTGAACACAAGTGTGACTCTAGATTGTCCGAAAAATGCATCAATCTACGAGGCACTTACAGGTATACCTTGAAGATTTCAATCAAAATTTACAGTTTTTACCCGTGCAAAGTTGTATAATTAATTTTGTAATATATTAATATTTGGTATACTTAGATGTGAAAGACCTATAGCAGTTCAACGTCAACGTCAGAAACCTGCTTGTCCCACAGGTTTCAGGTATCATCCTCGACTAAGAAAGTGCACAGGTACATTTTCAAAAAAATTTCTTAAATATTAGAAGTATTTTAACATTACAGTCTGTTGTTCATATTTTTAATTTACGACTTGGTAGAGTATTTAAATAAGTAACATATCTTTTTAATCCATGTATGCAGATGTTAATTCTCAATATCATGTAACATTTTTTCAGGTTGGAAGTTGACAATTTTTTAGCCAAAGTTAATATATTGAAAAATGTTATAAATATTTTGCGATGGCATGTATGTCAGCTTGTTGCATGTTTAGCACTGTACCGTTTTGTATGCATTTCGAATTCATCGTTGTTAATATGTTTTTCTTCATATTATAGTATGTTTCATATTATTGCAATGTAATGTCTAGTGCGTTTTATGTGTGCAAATGTTAAACATGAGAATATATTGCAATACAAATGTTTTGCTTTCGTTCAATTAATTTATAATATGCATCTTTTCTAATTCCTCGAAAAGAGAATAGAATGTGCATTGCAAAAATTCTGATGGTTCGTTGATTTCATTTGTGAAATTAATTATTATTAGCATTCGTATTTCAATTAGAAATTCGTAACAATTTTATTTTCTGCGAAAAAATTCATCGCATACTCATGTACTAATTATCGGCTTATGTTTATTGCAAAATTACCATTGATAAATTTTCATCATTAAACGCGTTATAGTATAAGTATAGTATAAGTACGCTTAAACTTAAAAATAATTATTTTCGATCGAGTTAAATCTGTTATTGTAAAAATTGAAACGATCGAAAGCTCTGAAATGGATTATTCATTACAAATGTATTATCACATTTATACAGATATCGACGAATGTGCGGAAGGTTTAGATGCTTGTGAAGGCGAAGTTTGTTATAATCAGCCAGGTGGTTATAGCTGCGCGAAACTTCCAAAACCTATTACCAGGAAACCGACCACGACACCCTCACCAGCATTACCAAATCAGAAATGCGCTCCTGGTACGAAATTCGTTAGGAACCGTGGCTGTGTCGACATTGACGAATGTCAAGAAGTAGAAGACGCCTGTAGCAGCAATGAAGAATGCATCAATACCAGAGGAAGTTACATGTGCACCTGCAAGCCTGGTTTCAGGCGCGAGAATTTGACTCAGGCTTGCGTGGATATTAACGAGTGCCAACTACAGGTAAACTGTTTCTACGAACGTATCTTGAAACTTGTGTTCTCTGGTAATACACAGACGTCTTGTGAACGTCTTAAAGACGTCGAGGAAAAGTCTAAAGATGTCCAAAAGACGTCTGAACGACGTCCAGTGTTACGAATCAAGGTACCCTTGAACGTGACGCTGTAAGGCACTATGCATTGGTGTTAGAAACGTGTTAAAAACGTCTTAAAGACGTAATTTTTATACATTGCTAGTAAGACGTTCAAACCAAAAATGGACGTAAAATGGACACCTCTAAGACGTCGTGTGCTATCTGGATCATGATAAAAATTGACATTGAATCGATTATGATTCAATTTTTATACGATATTTGCGATTATAGTAACTTTTACTATTCTATGTTTTAAAAAATAGAAAAAGCAGATTATGTGTAAAGAATGTGTCATTGTCTAAAAATTTGTTAACTTTTTAAAATCTTTTCTAAAATTTCACTTGATAGTAAAAGTATGCAAACAACGTTAAGAAATATCAATCGTTTGAAATCTTATAAAAGAACGATTTTCGAAAATCTGAAATTTACACACTTGTCTTTCGTTTGATGTGAAATATAATTCGGTCAGAGTTGAATTTTCGACAATTGATCAAAATGACTATTACGAATCGTCATTTTCGTAAACTATAAATACTCAGATTTGGGTGTTGGTATCTAAATTAAAAAATTCGGTATTAA